CTCCTTGTATTTTCCCACTCAGATCCAGCTCTCTCAGCAGTAAGGGGTTTATTCTTAGAGCTTTATTCAGAGAATCACAGGCTTCCTCTGCAGCAGAACTGTTCAGCAGTCTGCAATGAAGACAAAAAACTCAGATTACTCACAATTTCCCTTTTACAATTACTTTTACCCACATATTTGTAGGTAAATGCTCAATTACACTTCTAAATCACCGTGTATCAGTGAAGGTACAATGCATTGGTGGTTCAATATAATGTGGACATTTTAATATACAATTTAATAGACAAGCTGCTACTTGTCCACAAATTCACAGCAGAGATCCCACAGTGTATTTTATAAGCTCTACCAATAATGCAAACTGTTTGTAGCCATTAGATCAAATCCTTTGATGTTTTGGGTAGAATTATTGACATTGACTCTAACATGACAATCTTCAAAAGACAAATAAATACACTATTATTTCATTTTTAACTGTGAGTGCATACACATTTGAAATTCCCTATGTTGACTATACCCACAACTCCCTCATCTTTCCCAGAATATCTACCTCAATTTGTTCAGTTTGCAGTTTTCATCCTCTATCAAATCATCAAGTATCCTCACTCCAGTATCTCCAGGATAATTTCCTCTGAGATCCAGCTCTATCAGGTGTGACAAGGAGTTTGATTTGAGAGCTGAAGCCAGAGCAGCATATCCTTCCTCTGTTATACTGCAGAATGAAAGTCTAAAAGAGGAGAAAAATCATTTTTGGCAGAATACAATAAATGTTTACAAGATATATTACCTCTTATCAGCACTTCAAGGACATTATATGATTTTTAGTTAAAAGTTTTATTGCCATCAGCACTCTAACATTGATGCCTATGTACATTATAATATATGTACATAAATACACATGTCATGAAATATCCTGGCTTAAATACATTGACAAACATGATAAACATTACATGCCATGTGTTCATAACATGTTAGCTCTTAATTACATGACAATAGTCATTGAAGGTGTCAGTGTAATTAAAACCCAATTTCATTAAATAAAACAACACAATTTAACAATGCATCATTTTTATTGACCAACCAATTATCTTCTAAAAATACAAGTTCTCCTGCTTATGTATAAGTATTCTCATTTGTCAGCCACTAATCATCTGTTTAATGAGACTGATACCCTAGAAGGAAAAGGAAGTTAGAGACAGATGAAGAAGTCGAGGAACAAAGGACAGAAAGAGTGGAGAGATGGAGAACTGAGCCAAGCAGAAAAGTGGAGAAATGAATGAAACCAAGCCAGCTTAAAATCTTACAAATTACTGAGAATTTAAAAAGTAATATTCTTTGTGAATTTCTTATTTTTCTTTTTTTTTCTTGCTGATTTCTTTAAATTAATCATAAACTAATTTGGAATATTTGCATTGTCCTCCTCCTGAAGGAATGTACAAATTTACCAAATCTAATCTATGACAATTAAAATGAAAGCTATAATCAGGGGCTGAATCAGGGTACTGATTTTTGTTTGCCCCATAAATTTCTAAATCAATGCAGAAGTCTCCAAATTAACACCTTAATCAAGTGCATGAAATGAAAGTAAAATTTGTTGCATTTTCTTAAAAAAACAGTGTTCAGACATGTTTGCCCCCCCCCCCAACGTGGTCTCTTACATAGTACTACACCTCACTACACTGTATATTAAAAATATAGTGTTATTTCTGTTATGTTCCTCATTCCTTACTGCCAGTCATCTGTACTGTTTGGTGTTATTTCTTGCTTTATATTTACTTGTTGAGTATACCCGTCTTGAGTATAGTTCAGGAAATTGTACAACGTAATTCAGTCTGGAATTATTACTTAGTAGACTTGCAAAAACTATGGACATTGTACATTCTTACTGGATTAAAATTACTGATCTCATTGGTAAACACTCAAATTACAACACCTGCCCAGGTAAAATGAATCCAGCTGAAATAGGGCTTAAGTACTTAGTCAAGCTAAGAAACTGGACCAAACCAAGGTGTTCACCCAGTCAATTTACAGTCTTGTCTACATGCATATTGGCACAGTCCAACTTTACAACAGCAAATGCCCCTTCATGACGCATGAATGTGTATGTTTGAGTTTTCTGCCATTTAATATATCCACTCATGCTACTGCATAGTCTGGTATTTCTAGCCAAAAAGCTTGAATTTTATGTTTGCTAGTGCACTGATGCTGGGTGTGCATACACCAACTGTATATGTATTCTCTGTTGGGTTTCCAGAACACTGCCAGCAACATTCAACTGACTTTTCCATCTTCTGCCCCACATGCTAATAGGTTGCCTGCAACTGCTCCTGGTGCTGCTAGATCCACTCTTCCACACTCCATTTCAACTCTTCAGCACAATTTTTACAAATATTGGTGTAGACCACATGTTTTAACTGGGCCTCTTAGACTAGCAGTCTGACTAGTTGGACCCCTTAGTGGAGGGGCATGCAGGTCCAGAGATGTGGAAGTATGGAAAGTATCTGGTGCTTTAGTGATCTGTGGTATTATAGACAAAATAACCTAAGTAAGTTTTCATATTTTTCATCTTCTTCTATGATGGGAGAGTGCGGAGCAGTGAGTGTTAGGGTCACCTCAGCCTCCAAGCTTCCCCTGGTTGAAATGAAATTGAGCCTGAATTCAAGGCCTTACCAATCATTTGTCTGATCAAGAATAGCACCCGTCTGGTCCAGCACTGTTTCAGTGAGCTTGGAGAATACGTCAGTCAAGATCAAAACATTCTCTTGCATCAGATGACAGTTCTTTGTACTTTTTCTAGTTCTGGATGAATTATAGATTTGCCCTTAAGACAGAGGACCCCCTCACAATTCACCACCCTCTCCCACTGCCTCAAGAGTTCCAAAATTGGGTTCTTTATTAGCAACATCTCCTATTCTGGTCTCTTTCCCCGAGCCCAAAAGAAATTATTGGATCAGCCAGTCAAAGACTTTGTACAATAGAAATGAGACTAGATGTGGACTTCAGTTCTGAATAGGAAGCATTCTGGGGTCTTTGACCTCTTCACATTGACTAGGCAGTATCCTCAGCAGAATGTCTCTGACTGACAGGGGTGTTATCAACTACAGTTCCTCTCAGCTGCATAAATATCCAACGATATCTATCTGTGACAATTTTTTAACATTAGAATCTTTTTCTAGAAAAGAAAACCCCTTGTTTTGTGACCCATGTTTGATGGTAAAAAGCTGCCATCACAAGTGTGGTAATATAGTCACAAAATCTCTGTGCAAAAGCTCTGTGTGCACATCAGCAGATTGATCTAAGTGTTTCTATGTCCAACTCTGTCTCTGTCTGACAAATATTGGTGTAGACCATATGTTTTAATGGGGCTACTTAGACTAGCAGTCTGACTAGTTAGACTAGCAGTCTTAGTCACACTAACACTGAACCACTGATGTCTATGTAAACATATAGTTACTGACTACAAGCAAAGCCTCTGACCGTGCCAATAACATAAAAATTTGGAATGTCATCACAAAATGAAAATATTTGTATGGACACAAAAAGAAACATATGGATCCTTGACAAAATCACCTCTCATTCAAAACCCAGAAAAATGGAGGGAAGTTCTTATTTTGGTCATAAAATGAGTAGAACCAATTTACTGGAAAATACTACGCCTGGAACAGTTGAAGGTTAAACAAGATGGAGGGATACAATCAGAGGAATCATAAACAAGCCATTAAGAAACCTAAACCTAAAGACAAAAAAAAACAAAAAACAAAAAAAACATAAGTCAGATATTCTGAGGAAACACTCCATGGCACTTAACAATAATAATTCATATCATTAGAGATAATTTATTAAAAAATAAAGAAAAAAGAAATCATTTATTAGAAAAAAGGTTTTATTATAACAGATCTAGCATTTACCAATGCCATGTTAACTGAAGTTGAGCTATTTTTGTGTGTGATATAGAAACAGGAGTTAACTTTTAGGTAGCTGCTTCAATAGTTGAATGTAAGTGCTTTCACTGCACCATATGGAGATCATGCACCCCACAGTGGCAGTGTTCATTCTGTGCATGAAGCAATGATGAAAGTTCACCAGTCTATGGATCATGTGTAATTACTGCACAATGCAATAAGATGGCCAAATACAAACATAATGCATACATCCTGACTTCTATGTCCAATACAACTCTTCTGTTCTGTTCTGACATATGCAATGTGATCACTTGTTCAGAACTTTCAGAATTTGTCATGGAGCAACTGACATCAGCAATAGGCTACATAACATTCATTTCATGTAGAGACAGACAGCATGGTAATACACAGAAAGCTTCCACATGCAGAAATGTTTAACAGTGCTGTGTGTACCTATGTTGTGGTGTTATCATTGCTTTCCCTTTAAAGCATCAAATGTGTTACTTGAACCAGCTGTAGACATACATATCTCTACAAGCAAAGATCTGTCATACTTGTGTATAGGTTTTTGTTTGAATTAACTAACTGTTAGCTGTTATAATATTTTAAGAATTGTAGGTTATTAAATATACAACTTCTACATATGCTAATGACAGAGATGAACTCACCTCAGTTCCTCCAGTTTACAGTTTGCACTCTCCAGTCCAGCTGAGAGCAGCTCTACTCCTCTGTCCTGTATAGGATTCCTGCTCAGATCCAGCAAAGTCAGCTTAGAGGATTCTGAGCTAAGAACTTTAATCAGAACTGAACAGCTTCTCTCTGTCAGGTTACAGTCACTCAGCCTAAAATGAAAATATATCAGAAGAGTTAAAGTAATCTCAAAATCATTTTGCCCTACACACACACTTTCTAAGCTGCATATCCTTCTGGGTTGTGGGGGGAGCTGAAGCCTATCCCAGCAGTCACTGACAGGCAGGAACTCCATATTATGAATCAGAAAAATATATCTTGATCAGACTGTAGCCTTCAGAATAAATACGTTCAAATGGCTTGAGCGTCTCCTACAGCTGTCATGCTTAGCAACGGCGTCTCAGCAGAGTGATACAGTGTTTGTGAAAAACCTGTGATGTTATGGTGAAATAACAGTACAGTTAGAACGCTTCTCAACCAATCAGCTTGCATGGCTGGAACTAACTGTTGTATAATACAGTTGGAAGAACATGCTTGCTTCTTAATTCCGTTGCCTCTTGAAACTCTGACTGAACAATTATTTTAATCTCAAAAAATAATCTGTCAGTGGTCTGAAATCTGTTCTAAATTTATTTACTTATAATGAATAAGTTCATGTCTTCATGTCATGCAACAGGAAATCTTCACTCTAAATAAGGAATTTAGTGTTTTTCTCAGAAAAGTTTTACATAGCTATCATATCTGACACAACAACAAAACACACTTCTGTAGTCTGGCCCAGTGTCCCACCTGCAGCTTTACTGGATTGCTTGAAATGTGGATGACTCATCAAGTATAATCAACCACCAAATCTGTAGCCTGTCTCTGTGTTCTGCCCTGTGCTGAGTAAATTCAGTCAAACATGCTTTTCAGTGTTTGTGAGAGAAGCAGGAGATGATGAAGCACATGCTTCACCTTCACAGCGAGAGGAAAAGGTAAAAAACATCATGTTTGAACAACGTAGTTGGTAAAAAACTCAGTGGGCCTGGTCATATCATTTCACTCACTCTAGCAAAATAAAAGTGGCTTGTGTGTGCAGCTCACAATAGTTTGGTGAGAGTGAGGTTTCTGTATGTGTTGAGCTAACACACTGTGCGGACCAACACTGCTCCTGTAGTAGTTTGAACCCGTTCAGAATGTGTTGCCTACAGCAGAGCTTCAGTGGGTCAAGTATGCAGACAAGCCTCCAGAAAGCAGTAAATTATTTCTAAAATCACTTATCATTTATTGTTTAAGGTCACTTGCTGTTTTATGATTAGTAAATAAGTTATGCATGATTTCTGGTCATCTTCGTTTCTATTTTTGCTCATTAAGTACAGACAGCTGCAGCTCGCTAGTTCCAAAGATTTCATCGCTCTGCTTAGACAAAACATGAAATCATGTAATCAAATAACATGTGATACAACACTTCCAACTACTGCAGTTATTGCATATGATATATTTTTTTATTGAACAACAAAATAAATTAAACAAATACATTAACATTCATATTCCCTCATTGTTGCTCTTTACGAAGTAATGACAATTTTTCATGATTGCTCAGATGCTTATTTTTGCTGTAATACATTTACAGTTCTATGTATTTGTTAGTGTTATCTACACTTTTGAAAAAGAGGGTTCTTTAAGGGTTCTTTAGTAAAGAAAATGGTTCTATATAGAACTATGTACACCAAAGAACCTCTGCATAATTAATGTGTTCTTTGCATCATGAAAGCATTCTTCAGATTGATCGAGGATATGATGTAGATAGTTCTATATAAAACCTTTCTGTAAAGGGTTCAAATTTTTGAGCCCCCTTTTATTTAAGTTATTTTTATCTGTTTATTTTCTTAAAGATAGCTTTGAAATGTTTAAATGGCTATTTTTGCATACTTTACTGTCTAAAACTTAAAGCACTTTATTTGTTGTAATGTTCTATTTTTATTTAATGTAAGGTATAAGTAATATTTGTGAGAAAAGAACTCAAAAATTATATTTTCTTGGTTTTGTTGTGTTTCTGGTGATACACACCTGTCAGTCCCATTTATTTGGCATGTATCAATCTTGAGATTAATATCCATCTTGGTAACTAAACCTAAATATTTCATGTCAATTGCAGTAAACCTTTTGTTAAGCTGATGTTTTACTTTTAAGTTACTAACCAGTGACTGTGAACATCTCTGTATGAAGATGTCTTGAAATAAATCTAATCTTCTCCTCAAAAATGCATGAAAGCACAGCTCGTGACTCTCTGCTTGACTCTGCTATGATTCTTGACCTTGATAGAGAGGCATAGAAAAGTACAGAACATTCTAACACCTACAAGGATATATGTTTTACTTACAGAGCTGATTTGGCTTCCTTGAGCACTGACTGCAGTCTGATAAGACACTCATCTGATCTGATGAACTTCTTTAAGTCAAACTTATCCAGCTTCTCTTTTGATGTCAGCAGCACAAAGACCAGAGCTGACCACTGTGCAGGTGAGAGTTCAGCTTCAGAGAGACGTCCTGAGCTCATGTAACTCTGGATCTCCTTCACTAGAGAATCATCATTTAACTCATTCAGACAGTAGAAGAGATTGATTGATCTCTCTGGAGATGGATTTTCCTTAAACTTTAACTTGATGTACTCAACTATGTCCTTCTGGCAGTCAGAACTGCTTCCTTTCTGGGTCAGCAGACCTCGAATGAGCTGCTCATTAGACTCCAGAGAGAGACCCAGAAGGAAGCGAAGGAAAAGGTCCAGGTGTCCATGGTCACTCTTCAAAGCCTTGTCTACTGCAGTCTTGAACAAATCAATGACTTCTGTTTTTCTGCTCTCCTGTGATTCAGACTGATGGTCTAAAACATTCTTGGTGTCATTTTTGAAACAAATGAATGCAAATAAAGCAGCAAGGAACTCTTGAATGCTGAGATGTACAAAGCTGTAAATTGTGTCATGAAATCTGCCTGTCTCCTGAGTGCACAGTCCTGAGTACACTGATATCTTACTGGGGTCAATTCCACAGGCTTCTAGATGTTCTGTGTGGAATATCAGGCTGTTTTCTTCCAAGTGCTGAAAAGCCAACTTTCCCAGTGAGTGAATGCTGTCTCTATCCCATGGTATGTCCAAGGCATTCTTTCCAACGTACTTTGCATTCCCTTGTACGGTCTGAAAGATCAGAAAGCAGGCATACATTTCCGTCAGTGTCTTTGGCGTATTTTCACTCTCAGTTTCTTCCAGAATTCTCTGAAGTACATTGGCTGAGATCCAACAGAAGACAGGGATGTGGCACATGATGTGGAGGCTTCTTGATTCTCTGATGTGATCAATTATTTTGCTGGCCAGGTTCTGATCACGGATTCTCTTTCTGAAATATTCCTCTTTCTGCTCATCATTGAAGCCGCGCACCTCTGTCACTCGTTCAATACACTCAGCAGGGATCATACTGGCTGCTGCTGGTCTAGTGGTCATCCAGATCAGAGCAGAGGGAAGCAGATTTCCTTTGATGAGGCTCGTCATCACAGCATCCAGTGGGGCTGCTTTTGAGACTTTATTCAAGATTTCATTTTCTTGGAATTTCAAAGGAAGTTTACATTCATCCAGTCCATCAAAGACGAACAGGACTTTATTCTTATCTGATAATCTCAGTCCTTGTGTCTCTGGGAAGAAAAAATAGATGATGTCCATCAAACTCTGACTTTCTTTCTTCATCAGGTTCAATTCTCGGAAGGGAAGTGGAAAGATGAACTGGATGTCCTGATATTCTTTACCTTCAGCCCAGTCCAAAATAAACTTCTGTACACAGATTGATTTTCCGATGCCTGCAACTCCCTGGGTCAGAACAGTTCTGATGGGTTTGTCTTGTCCAGCTAATGGTTTAAACATATCCTTGCATATGATTTGTACCTCTTGCTGCATTTGATGTTTTTCAATGAGTCTTGCTTCATGTGCTTTATTGGCCTTTCCAGCTCCACCTTCAGTGATGTACAGATCTGTGTAGATCGTGTTTAGACTGCTGGACTCTCCTTGCTTTGCAATTCCTTCATATACATGAAGACACTTATTCCTCAATCCTTCTTTGAGTGGACGCTGTATAATTCCAATCAGCTCATCTAATTCATCAATTATAAAAACACAACAGAGACAAATACAAAGTAAAACTTAATGTAATAAATTTCTGTGGAATAGTATAGAAAAGTTTAGGAAAAATATGGAAGACAAATGGTAAAAATTCAGAACTACCAGTTTGCATGCACACGTTTACTTTGACATGAACATTAAGAAAATATAATATTTTGTCATCTGTTCATCTCTTACTTTGCAGAGCATCAGCGAGTTCTTCGTGTTCCATCTTCTTCAGGTAGGAAAGTGTCATATTAAGAACGCCCTGTCTCAAATTCCATATGCTTTCCATTTTCAATTTGCTTTGCTTTGCTTTTCTATAATATTGTGTGTTTTCATTTCTCAGAATTTTCTTATACATTTCCAGCTCATGCTTTACAAGTGCAATTATTTTCTTCTCAAGCTCCTAAAGAAAAAACAAAAAGAGGTAAAGAAAATTATTTAAAATGAAAAAAAAAATTGCATAATTTTAATTGTAACATAATTCTTATTGGAATAAGCCTTTAGAAATTTTTATGTAGGTTGATGTCAGCTGTCATGAATGTTTTATGAAAACGCCCTATAGCTAATACATGCCCAAATTTTTTGACCATAATGTTTTAGTAATTCGTTGCTTTATGGCATATGACAGAGCAATATACACTGTTAAAGTGCAGTATGTAAGTATCTGGAGCACCACATGTCATTTGGCTGTTTTTGTCATGGCTATATTCATAGGAATTACATTAATTTTACTATATAGTAACCCAATATAAGAGGACTAAGAGTTGTTGAACAGTTGGCTGATCAGTTGCTTAGTGTGTTACACTGCATCACAATCTGCTTGATTCTAGATGTGGCATTGGAAATATGGAACCTGGTGATGATGAGCAATGTAAAGAAACACCTAGCATACTAAGGAAAATCAAAATAAGACATTAAAGAATACAATGCTTTTAATCCTGAAGACTAACATAAAGAGAAGAAAAGCACCAGCATCACCTCAGATGGCTGGTAAGCCTCAAGAACAGAAAGACCAGTCTACAGTTAGCTTAAGGACAGAAATTGACACTGTTACAGATTCTGAAGTAGGCCTGGCTATGTAAAAATAGTACATAATGTCTTGTTAAAAAAAAATGCACTCAGACTGCTACATGTGCATGAGTAAAAATGTCCCAAAGCCAAATCCAGTATAGATACAGGAATGTCTAAGATCATGAAACATAGGATTACTTTCTGTTTCAAGAACAAAATGCGAAATGTGGTGGTGGGGCTGCATTATGCTCCTTCACTGTGTAACTCCCACAAGACTTACATCAAGTATCCTCAGCTAGCCATTTTAAAAAGCATACAGTAGCTTAAAACGCATGATTTCCTTTTTTTCAATTTAATTTTCCCTATTTTCTCTTGTACTTTTATTTGCCTCACTCTTTGTGAAGCACTTCCAGTTGCATTATAGTGTATAAAAGGTGCTATATAAATAAAGTTGTATTTATTATTATACAAAAATTATTGACAGTTAGCTAATAAAAAAACACAGTATAATTAGCAGTATTATTTTGAAGGGTACATGCTTAGTCTGCATGTTGCATTAGTCTGTTCTACATGTACAGTGTTAAACCTTCTAGGACTCATGACCTGTTGTCATGCTGATTGTTGAGGCACCAGTGGAGTTTGGTACATACAGGCGGAGACTCTACAACATGTCTACTCATGACACAAAGTGAGGTGAATGAAGTGAATCTCTGATGTCAACAGATCTCATGCATGTTTATAAGGTGTGTATCTTATGAATAGCCATTTAGAAGAAGTGTTACCAAAACACTTACATCAAAGATGTTGAAGAGATATGTCATTTTCTTCTGAAGCTTGTCACTTGTCACAGTAGACTCTGCCCCCAGTTGATTTCTGCAGTCAAAATAAATGTATATCTATATTTATTATATTTATATATGTTTATTTAAATGTATATAAATGTATATTATTGTATAGTCTTTTCTGACCAGCAGCCAGGTGGTGCTGCACCACCCACTGCTTTCAGGATTGTTGAATCTTTAATTTTTTAAAGAAAATAACTTAAATATTGTAGCAAAGCAACAACTACTGTAAACTTGATGTATGAGTTTGTATTTTTAAATGCTTTATTTATGTATTTTAGCTTGTGGTTCACGTGGCTTTTCATTCATGAAGTGCATCACTTTCATCATCAACTGAGTCGCTAAAGCGCAAGCACTCTTAACTGTCCAGACAATGAAACAATGAAGCACGCATCTAACATCATATTCAAGTTTGCTGATGACTTTACCATCCTAGGCCTCATTACTGATGAAGATGAAACAGCCTACAGAGACGAGGTCAGCACTCTGTCAGAGTGGAGCCATGACAGCAACCTCTGTCACATCATCAACTAAATGTTTCTAAGGGTCTTTATTTCTCTGTCAATGTAATTATCTTCTGCTTGATGAGAGTTTGAGTACTAAATCTTCCCAACATTAACTCCAGTGTGTAGCTTCACTACATTGTACATGGTAAATAACTCTGTGGCACATTTCAACAATATGATTGGCCGACATCCAGCCAAATTTGCTTCTTTTTTGCATAAAGTTTGATCAGAACGAGAGACAGCAGAGTGAACAGGGCTGCATCAGCAGTGGCTGCACTGGTTAGCTGTGCAGAGCTGTAGTCTCTGTCTCTCTCTCTCTCTCTCTCTTTCTCTCTCTCTCTGCATTACAGTAATTGCATTTTCAATGTCACTTTAAGACACATTGTTTAATGTAAATTATCGAGGCAATTCAAATGGATATAGCATAGCTTCTAGTGTCTTTTGTATACATTCACTTTATAAGGAGATCAGAAAAAACAACAGAAGTAATTCTGTGTTACAGACTAGCTGCATCACTTATGAAACAAAGTTATTATGTAATTTGAAATGCACGGCCTGATTGTTCCCTGTCAAAAGCAGTGTTATTCCTGTATTTTACATTGTCTTCTTTAAAGAAGAAGTTAAAATGTATGTAATAAATATTAATATTAAACAAATAATGAACTGCACTGTAAAATTTGGAGGTGAATAGCTTAAGTGCTTCACTTCCTCAAATTCACATCCCTATGATAATGCAAAATAATATATATATAAAATTTGCAATTCAAGGTGCAATAGAAGACAGAAGTTTATAAAAGCAAAGCTGGGAGTACCTTGGCTTCGGGGGAGAATTATTTTTCTGATCCTTCTTCAGGGGTGTTTTTTTAATCCTGAGAGAGAGAGAGAGAGAGAGAGAGAGACAAAGGCAAACAGAGAGAAGAACATATCTGAGAACACATAGAAACAGGATATATTCATTTGTCTTTGTCAGTGAAAATGATGAGATATGAATCTACTTGTACACATGCCATGCATCCATGCTTGATGTGTAGAAATAATGCTTATGGAGCAGATCATATGTGTAACGGTGTACAATAGTTGTATTAATGTTATGTTATGAAATTCCTGCTAAATGGGTTTGGCACCACCTGCTGGTTGGTCAGCGTATTACAGCTCCTATATATATTGGTGATTCGGTGCAGCCTCAGCAGTAGAGCGTTTGCAAGCTGCCGTGGTGAGAACAGCTTCATATGTTCAGCTCAGTAAAACTGCAAATAAGTCTGTAAATGTTGTAATATTCAACTTTTGTCCCTGCTGTCTGATGTAACAGACCCTGATGTAACAGAGATCAGTATACCCAGTTGGGGTTTTCCAAAACGCTTTATTTAAACGTTATAAATTTGAAGCTAAACCTGAACTGTGCTAACGTTAGCCTGTTTTAGTTGTCTACTGGCCGAAGCGTGAACAGAGACTTAAACTGTGGTTGCCGTACTCAGGTACGTTCCATTCATGTTTCAATGTGTATTAGAACAGCATTAATGAGCACAGCAATGCTAGCTGGGTTAACTAGCTTATTCTCAGCTGCACCATGTGGTCTGGATGCCATATTTTGTGTTCGCCCCCAGATGGCATTACTTCATATTTTACTTTTGGTTGATGTTCCACTAATTATAAAAAGATGATGTAGCTATAAAATATAATTCATGTTGATACTGTAATAATTGACCCTGATGGAAATGTAAAATGTAGACGTGTATAAATCTAAAAACTGAACATATGGAAACACAAGCACTTTCACCACTATACGATCATAGCAATTTGTAAAGGTAATTGTATTATTTTCATGAATATATATTTTTCATGTCGTTGGTTTATTTTGGAAATATATTTAGACCAATGTATTCTTTGGGCAGTAGAGTGTTTGCACGCTGCTGTGTTGTTTGCTGGCCGAAGCATGAACAGAGACTTAAACTGAGGTTGCCGTACTCATTACAGGAGGCTAATAAAACTGCATCATCCCAATTTGGTGTCCATCATTGACCAGTGTGGACGAATATCCGATAGAAGGGTCACATATGTACATAGACTGTTTACAAATTCGGTTTATTAAAATGGAGTTATGGATTATCTGAAATTTGGGAGGAGAACCATGCCTGAAACCCCTCCTACTTCCAATCAAATGGCCTATAAATTTCCATCTCAACCTTTTATTTCCTATGGCGAAGGTTTCCCACCAGTTGTGGGATGCCAGTACTGCTATAAGCCACTGAGCTCTCAAGTGTTCTCCTCTCGCCATTGTCCTTGGCCATCTGCCTGCACCGTCTGATAAAACATTCCACGTAACTTCTAAATTGAGATTTGTTCTCAGTGTCCCTGCCTGTTTATTGCTACCTCGATAGGATCTGTCTGCCCAACTGCTCAAGGCTCATGCTGGCATGTAAACTATGTGACAATAGCACAACGTTGACACATGCCCTATGTGATGACATCACAGTGCCAACGCACAATCTACACAATGAATTCATCCCTCTAAAGTACTTTCCAACAATGTCCTTGCTGTGTCTTTTCCAGGCTGACATAGCTCCACTCTCTTGCTCTTCTCTGTTTTTGCTCCTGCATGCTCACCTCCCTTTTCCCTTTTTCTTTATGTTCACCCCCACAATGTTCTTCTCAGCACACTACCAAAATTTAAATCTGTCACATACCGATGTTTTATATTTTTTAAAAAGTGGAATGTGCTGCCTTCATGCATTTAACTTTTTTATCTGCTCACTGTTTCATCAGGTCAGCTGTATGAGCCAATCCACATTAAGTCGTAGCACATATTTCAGTGAAGTCACATCTTCAACTTCCTTTCATCCCCTTATCGCTACCCTTCCAGATAGCACTCATCACTGCTTTTTCTGGGCCCCTGTAGGCACAGCTTCAGCTATAGCTTAAAGATCAATCATTTCACATCAAAATGTAAGTTTGAGAGAGTTTCAAATCACAATAGTGCAATTTTTATTATAGCTTACATTAGTAACAATGTTATTAACGTGATAAATTTAATCAAAAAAACACGGATCTTGTGAATTGCCAATAGATAAGTTACACCACTTGAGGCACTGAAACACTTTCAACTACAGAATACTCCCACACACTCCTACTGGCACTGCCAGAATCTGAAGCTGCATCATTCCCTTTTCAAACATCATAAGGCTCCCCATATTAACTCTGCATTCTCATCATACCCCTATAGTCACTTGTCACCCCTTCTTTCTCAACCCATTAACTACCCTATGGACATTGCCACTAGATTTCATCATTGTCCTCCTAACCCCCTCTATTTTTCAGCCTCTTCTACATACCCCCTCCCTGTTTTAGTATGAATCTTGTACCTATTCCCATGCACTAACTTTCAACCTCATCAGCCACACTTTTTGTATTTTACGACAGAGGCTCCCCTCTATCTCCCACTCCAAATCTTATTTCATCTCCCCTCACCCCCCGATGGTTCACGCCTCGGATGGCTTCATTGTTCCTCACACATCTCACACCTCACCCTCCTTTTGGAGAACATTTCTTCTCAGGCCTCTGCACGCTGAACTTAACCGCCTCATTGGTTTATTTCTGAAAGATGAAGCATACACTTACCATGACCATGACTATTGTGTTGTTTCAGCAAAGAATAATGTATTTGTGAATAGACTGTGTCAGATATTGTCAATTTGCCTTCACAGAACTGCACGGGTGGGAGCAGACCAAACTGTTATGGTTGCGGGCAGGAGCAGACAAATGATTCCGATTTTCTGCAGGAATGAGTGGAATGAAATCTTGCAAGAGCGGACAGGAGTGGGACTGAAAAAACAGTCCTGTGCAGACTTCTAATGTGCTGCTCTACTAGAAATTTCAAATGCTTTTCTAACATCAGTGATTTGCATTGCCCTGACCACCAAACATCTCACCACAAGTGGAGAGACCTCAGAATACTAGTGGCACAGGGCACCCTCAATCATCACCATTGAAGAACATGACTCAGGCTGAGTTTCTGACACTGCAATCACCAACAGAGTCACCACAGTCATCCATCTCATCCTCTACCCTTTCCTTCTCAACATCATGTCCTCCACATATTGATTTCTCAAAGAAAATGTAGGAACTGGTTTGCACTGGGACTAAACTCTCACTCTCCATCTCAGCTTGTCCACAGGTTTTACCCAAAAAAGCACAGGGCACCCCTTCCTCTGCATGTCTGCATCCCCCTACTCACTGAAAAAATCTCTTAGGCCACATCAACACCATGAGCAGCAGCTCCGTCCTTCATTCCTCTGGTAGTGCAGTGGAGTGAATGTTCAGTGAATTCTGCTGATAGCAGCAGCAGGGTACAAAATACCAATAGCACACTTTGTGATCTGTTCAGGTTCCTTGCTATAGCAGAAATGGTACTGACAGCTGTTCTGACAGCAAGCTGGGACCCAGTATTAGTGTATCAAGTTATGGAGGCCATATGCGCAGGGTCAGTTGACATACTCCTCGATGATTTAACTTGACTATTGCTCATGTCATGGATGTTGTTATACCAGTAATTAAGTCCACTATGAGCTCTATAAACAAAGCCTTTCTATTTTTAGAATTTATCCAGGAGTACAGTTACATTTGTCTAAGACCCAGACTCTATTTGGCATTGTTGAGAACTCCCAAACCCTCCAAAACTGATGTAAACAATTTTCCACAGAAAGTTTTTCTGAAATTGCTTTGTTTTTCAGTGAAAAACAATCAATCAAATAATGAAACTACACTGTCTCTATGACCATCTAGAAATAACTTGAATATTATATGATAGTTTAATACAGCTGACCATTATAACTGTATTAAATTTAACAATTTAATACAACTGAGAGGAAACTGTTCAGCACCTTACATCATTGGCATGTTGTCTACACACTGCCATCTGACTTTTTTAGAACTATTGTGGCATCCCATCACTGGCTTGCATTGCCTCTGAAGCTCGGATGGCATGGCTGTGCAAGAGGACCATGTGAAGAGGCTCATCCCCCATAAAAAGGGACTCTGATATTGTTAGTGTTGCTGTTCTGATATGTGTGTGTTGCTTCTGTTTTATGGTGTTGTGAGTCATTTTGTATGAGTTGATGGTTACTATGGATGGGAAAGCTATAATCTCAATAAATTTAATGCTTTCTGGAGAAGAAATATTAGTGAATATTTTGATTTCTGGGCCCTAAAACCAAGTCTGAAATTTTGGTGTTCTAATTGGAGCTCAAAACAATGGAGTTATCAGGCTACTGAATTGAATCTGCTCTTTATCTGCTCATGTTAAACTCATACACAAAACCATGAAAATGAATCCTAGTGCACCACAGGCCCAAACTTCCAAAATGGAGTCCTAATATAACTTTAGGAGGTATGCCTGAAGCCTCTCCTTCCAGCCTAAGGCCCTATAAATTCCTATCTCTACCTTCCATTTAGCGTGATCAAGTTTTCGCATTCCCCACCAAGACCCTATCTTCCCCCCTGTCAAAAACGTTGGGACAAAAGGCTGGAAAAGTAAGTGGTATAAATAAAAAAACAGCTGGAGGAGCAATTTCCAACTAACTCACATGACTGGGTATATAAAGAACATTTTAGAGAGGCAGAGTCTCTCAGAAACAAAGATGAGCAGAGATTCACCAATCTGAGGAAAACTGTGGAACAATTTCAGAAAAATGTTCCTCAATGTAAAATTGCAAAAACTTTGGAAATTCCACCATCTACAGTACATAATATCATGAAAAGATTCAGAGAATCTGGAGAAATCCCTGTTGGATGTTGGATGCTCGTGATCTTTGGGCCCTCAGGTGGCACTGCATTAAAAACAGACATGTTTCTGTACTGGAAATCAGTGCATGGG